TTTGAACTTTGTACAACTTTGACCTCTTGAGATTGATGCTTTTGAATAATTCATTCTTTTAAAATATGAATTCATAGCAAAAAGACAGGCTATTATAGTTTGCTAAATGCCTCGGAGTTGGAGGAACAAATATAAGAGTCGGGGGAATGGCCAAAGGTTTTGGGATGATCCACCCAAATATGCCACCATGCTTAGTATATGTATCCCTTATTGCTTCTCTCGGTTTGTCCAGATAAGCCTATATCATCATTGCATTCTTTGATAATATTATCTTTTGTAGCTTATAACAACCAATGCCTTTGCTAATAGTGATTTTTGGAGAAAGACGGTGCAGATTTCGATGAATCGATTTTCAACCAAATAACTATATGTTACACCATGGCTTTCTCACTCGCTCGTTTCTTAAGTACTATATTGGTTTCAATAAGTTGGCTAGTATTAAAGTGGAGCTACATTTTATGTGATCCTTATTGCTCGAAAATTTTGATACCGAGACACTATAATGGCAAGTATTATTTTTTCTCTAAAATTTTACTCGTTGGATTAATTAGAGAATGTTGAAATGATTTTCTCGCCACTCCCATATGTTTAGTTATACATAGCATTGCCTAACAATTGCATTATCAATTTAGCTCATTTATGAATTTCAATGAAGCCATAAGACCACATGAGTTTAACGAGTCATTTTGATTTTTACATAATGCTCTTTTATAGGAAAAGTTTCCTATTGTTCCGGTATTAATATACCTAAATGTCTCTCCTTTCATTTGGGAAGGGTGACCATAATTTCTTCCTTTCAAGTACAATCATGTTCATGTTCGGACTCAAAGATAGGGCAATTTGTTTTGGGTTTATTGAGCATTTAGTGTACATACTATTGAAAGTTGAAGTGGAAGCATCTTTTCTATGCTTGTTTCTAGGAATGCGAACAGAATATTAAGGCTAAATTAGGCTAAATTGGGTTTAGTAATGGTTCGATTTGGGGGTACCTTGTGTTTAGATTATGAATATTTACCTCAATGTCAAAAGCTTTTCTTTAAATTTATAATTTTGAAACTACAATGAGGAAAAAGTTTGGGTTTTTTTTTTGTAGCATTTATTGTTTGGTTTTTGAGCAGGGATTGTGAGAGCAACTTGTAATGATGTCTATGCCTATGTTACTTTTTTTTTTTTTTTGTTACTTATACTAATAATCACTTTGTAATTTGAGTGGAGACAACCATATGTAAATGACTTTGACGTGCAGCCTGCTGTCAACTCAAAGCAGCTATAGATTTCAAAGTGGGAAGAAGTTGCAAGGGAGAAGGTAAGAAGTCTTGTCTTTTGCTATGCTTTCTCCATCTGTTTACTTGTTTTTATTTGTAAATGATGTTGTTTTTTTTTTTTTTTTTTGAATTTTGTAAGAATATTTGGATGATGAAATTGCAAGCTTAGTTGCATTTAGTACTTAGAACATCTTCTGTGCTATATGTAATATGTATTGTTTACCTTGGTTGTTTTGTTGGAGTTATCAGCCAATTGATGTTTTAAAGTCTCTGTCTTTTATTTTTCGTTGTCCTTTTGGCTTTCTTAATAGGATAAATCTTTGGTAAGCTTAGTCTATGTAAGGCCAAATCAGTTCAACAATTGGTACAGAAGTGATCCTTCTAACTATGATTAGTTTAGTAGACTATATGTAACAATTTCTACTTTGACATAGATGTTGCGACTAGATCCATAATGAGATGTATGGTAGGAAGAAAAGAAAACAACGATTCTTGTAGAATTTGGCTAAAGCTAGAATGAAAAAGGAATTGAAAAGTGGGGGTGCCCCATCACAAGGCCATGGCACCCAAACATCATCTACTACAGCTGGCGGTCTAGTGGAAAATGCAAGTTTTATGGGACTAGCTCAAAGATTGGCAAGAGGGGATGCCCCATCAGCTTGGCTGGCTATCTATAAAATAGCTGGATTTAGAAAAACGAGTTTTTTTTAGTTTTTTGATGATGTTTGGAAAAAATAAACAGGCTAATTGTTCCATTTTTTTTTTTTTATAAAAGTGTGAGAGTTGCTTTTTATGAACATTAACTACTTATTTTAAGATATATTAGGAACTTCATTTAGTTATTTTGAATAGGTGTTCAATAATTAAGTTTAATATTTAATTTGAATTCAATAATATGCAATTTTTTTATAGTTAATATTAAATTTAGAGATTAAATAAAACTAATCGAAACATTAGACATGGTAACACAACTATCTCAATAAATTATAAAGTTAGAGGCGTTTTTACCCGTCCTCAATGATTTCTTGTTAAAATATAAAAATTCTTAAAAACTTAAAGGCGGTTACCGATTGTTAGAATACCCTATTTTGGTGTAGGGTGGAGTGTTGTTGTTCTTGGAAAAAAAAAAAAAATCAAAGCAACGAAAGATTCGTGGATATATGAGTGGTGCATTCAAATCTTGTGAATACCATTATCACTCCACATTCAAGGAAATCCTTGCAATAAAGAGAGACGTTGAGAAATTTGAATTTCATTTGGCAGGAAAACATTTTCTCGTGGACATGTCCAGCTTCCCAAAAAATGCTTGAAAAAGAAAAAACAAAAAATAATCCCACATTTTCAATTGTTTCGATGGAAGAAATGGTTTGATCGCTACAAATTTAATGTCGCTTACATCAAAGGGAAAAATAACCTCCTTCCTGATCTTCTTTCCCGACCACCAAAAAGCATTTTCCTTATCCTCTCTATGTTTTGCCTTAAACCAATATCCCTAATCCAAACTTTAGACATTGGACCCAGAATTCTTGTTCTTGACAAACTCCTCATCTCTCGTTTTGTCTCCAAAGTCCACCAATACCATTTTGTTATCTTCTGAAAATATGGACTCATTGGTATAGGAATATGGCCAACAATTATTCATCCAGTTTATCCTTTCTTGACAATCTTCACCACAAATAATTTCTATCAATTTAACCAAATGGGTTATCTCTTTTGGTTATACATGGTCAGACTGTACCACATTGATTATGTTTTTGATAATTCATGGTTTCTTGCTTTTCTGACCGAATGTCAACTTAACAGGTTTCATCGACCTGCTTATTTTCGACCATTAGAACTCTTTAATACACTCGAAAACTAGCACAACAAATTTTTATAAGCTTCTAAAGATTATTTGTTTTTGCACTTTTCTAATCTCTTGAAACTTGTTCCCAATCTAGATGATAAAAGCATCTAGTTTCAAGAAACACCCTCCTATGTAGTCCAAGGATATTACAAATATGATTTTTTTAAAACACATGGATAGAATACCAACAGTGCATGGCATCAAGGAACCATCAATACTTATGGCTTGATGAACTTGCAAGACCCAACAATTTTTCTTGTGCCATTCTAGGTGGCCGAAACTTTCCTTAATTGGTCCGGCCTAATTTTTCCCCAGAATATGTTGAATAGTATAGCACCCTTTTGACTAATTTAACGCTTAAGTTCCTTGCCAATCTCCATCTCCTGATGACATTGACACCATCTCAGGGGAACTTATCCATCTAGATGGCCTCGGTACATGTTTTGAAGTTCATGAATCTACACAGATCTAATTACTTTAGATTTATCAAATTAAGAAAATTAAAGGCAGTGAAAATCTTTTTTCACATAGTTGTGATGTGAATAATAATATCTTATAATAATGTCATGAATGACATAAATAGAAATAAGATAACTAACCATAAGATAATAATTTATTGATACTTGTAGGTCAGATTCAGGATTCGATCTTTGTACTCAACATATGAGAATTTATCATCATTATACCTAAAGTTATGCATTGAAAAATATTTTTTAATAACATTCAGAAAAAAAAAATCTCGAAAATATGTAAAAGCTAATCTAGAGAAACTTTTAGTACTTGGAAAAAAAAAGAAAAGAAGAAGCTAGCTGCAGGCACGCACATGTATAAGTCCATAGTCACATCACATCAGTAGCAACTAATTAAACCTCAAGCCAAACCTTTTATCCATTTATGAAGAAATAATGAGAATACCCACTTCTCTATTCATTTTCAGTATGAGCGAGATTCAATTCTAAATAAAAGAAACCAACTTGCAATAGCGTAAGAAATAGGAGTAGTAAATTGTAGCTTTCTCTCTGACCTTTAGGAGTACCCCCAACAAATTTCAAAATGGCGGGCTTCGAGTTTCTGCCTTTGAAATTTCGTTTCCGTGTTATTTATTTGCAAAGAAACAATCCAGACTAGTACTTGATAGAAAGCCAAGTCGTAGATTTGAACATATAGTAATTAATTAATTAATTAATTATATAGAGCTTCCATCTAAATATACATCCAAAGTGAAAACCAGAGAAAAGCACATCAAAACCAGTGAACATGGAGCCACTGGTTTCATTTAGAATGTGAGAGTGTACCTTCCTAGATGCACAAATACCTTGCGTGTTTTGACAAATCATTACTTCACCTAAGTTGATTTTTTTTTTGTTTTCTTTGTAACGGTTAGGCCTGTCTTTGAAACTTCAAAGGTTCAATTTATGGATAAGTTGACAGTGTAAAATTAATCAAATCATGGAGCACTAAGGGTTTCTTATATAAATAGCCAAAAATACAGGTTTTTATCACCACAAAGCAAGAACGACTTGAGGAACAGCATTGATTACACGGAGAGAGAAAGATAGGATTTGTTTATTTCTTTGTAACAAGAGGAGTGTTAGGAAATGAGGTTAAACATGGGCTTCACCAGAGGCCTTTTATGGTTTCTGTTCATGGATGGGCTGCTTCTTTGCATGGCTAAAAGCAATGTTCATTTCTATGATTTTGTTGTAAGCCTAATGACATGATTTGTTTATTCTCCATTTTGTTTCAGCTATAATTATTATTTTTTCAATCTTCTTTGTATTATTCTATATTTTATACTAGCTACCAAATAAAGGTGAAAATGATAGTAATAATTTCCTTTCCATATATCATTTCTTTAATTCCAGCTTCAAGAGGCAGAGTTTACAAGAATGTGCAGCACAAAGACAATGCTCACCGTAAATGGAAGTTTTCCAGGGCCAACAATACGTGCTCGTAAAGGAGATACAATTTATGTCAATGTGCACAATCAAGGAGATTATGGTGTCACAATTCATTGGTAATCTCTCTTTTCGTTAGATCACATATATCATGTAAATAATAAGAAGTTGATCTCTTTCATTCGATAAAGAATATGTTGTTACATTGTTACAATATATATAAAAAAGATAGCTAAGATTCAAAAGTTTAATTGGGGACCATAGCCTACAATATTGCATGAAATCATCAACTTTCAAGATACGATGAAGGTGTGAAGTCAAGGCATCCAAACCTAAAATTTGTTTGGTTAATCTTATATTTCAGGCATGGAGTGAGGCAACCAAGAAATCCATGGTCTGATGGTCCAGAAAATATCACACAGTGCCCAATTCAACCGGGAAAAAACTTCACGTACGAGGTCATAATATCTACCGAAGAAGGAACTCTCTGGTGGCATGCACATAGTGACTGGACTCGAGCCACTGTCCATGGTGCCATTGTCATTTTGCCTGCTCTCGGAACCACTTATCCGTTTCCTGCACCTTATGCAGAAGAAACAATTGTGCTTGGTGAGCAAGGATTTCCGTCATGAATTATTATTTGTTTCAAAAAGAAAATCTTCAATGAGTTGTCTCGGGTTTCGTTTCTAAATTGTTTCAAATTCTTAACTTCAAAAAAATTGTTTGCAGGATCTTGGTTTAAGGGTGATGTAAAGGCTGTGATTGACGAAGCTCTAGCAACTGGTGGTGCCCCTAACTTATCCGATGGTTCTACCATCAATGGCCAACCAGGAGATCTATATCCATGCTCCAAAGGTATGCTTTGCCGTAACTATCTGAATAATTTGTACATAAGTGAATATATATATATATATATATATATATACCATGAGTATAACAGTGATATCATATTCTACGTATTTGTTGCAGAAAACACATACCGTTTGCTGGTTGATTATGGAAAAACTTACCTTCTCCGATTAATCAATGCCGTGATGAACGAAGAACACTTCTTTGGAATTGCAGGCCACAGCCTCACAGTGGTTGGGCAAGATGCGGCATACATAAAACCTATAACCACCAACTATATAATGATTACTCCAGGACAAACAGTGGACATTTTGGTCACAGCAAATCAGTCTCCAAGCTATTATTACATTACTTCTACTCCTTTTGCTGATGGTGGTGTTGGATTTGATACCACCACCACTACAGCTATTCTCCAATACAATGGCAACTATACCCCCCTTCATCTATTCCCCTCGCAACCCTACCGAGATTCAACGATAGTGATGCTGCAGCAAACTACAGTAGACTTGTCAGGAGTCTAGCTAGCAAAGACCATCCTATTAACGTTCCCAAGAAAATTAATCAACGTCTTTATATCACAGTTTCTTTGAATGAGATGCCTTGCACCGAAGCATCATGTGCAGGACCAACTCGGATAGCTACAAGCTTGAACAATGTTAGTTTTGAAGCCAAGCCAACTGATATATTGCAAGCCTATTACAAAAATATTAGTGGGGTATTCGGGAAAGATTTCCCAAGTGAGCCACCAAGGTATTTCGATTTCACAGGAAATGTGTCAAATATTGATACAGTGACAGCCAAAGGGACAAAGGTGAAGATGTTGAACTTTGGAGAAGCAGTTGAGATAGTCTTTCAAGGGACTAATTTAGGTGCCGAAATGAATCATCCTATGCATGTACATGGATTTAGTTTCTACATGGTTGGTACTGGCAAAGGAAATTTCAACAATAAGACTGATCCCAAGTCTTATAATCTGATCGATCCACCTGAAATCAACACCGTTCCACTTCCTAAGAGTGGATGGGTTGCCATCAGATTTATTGCTGACAATCCTGGTAAGACCTCTAGTTGATATTTCTGACTAATAGATTAAGTTTTCTAATCAACATATAATTCAACACTGGAGACAAATCAAACTCACATGTCCATTTATGTCCTTTTGGATACTGATATTAATTATGTATCAAAATTTTTCAGGGGTATGGTTCATCCATTGTCACTTGGAAAGGCACTCAAGCTGGGGCATGGACACAGTTCTCATTGTAAAGAACGGCAAAACAAAGGCAACAAGCATGCGCCCTCCTCCGGCACACATGCCGTCTTGCTCCTAATCCTCTGAATCACAAGTGAATCAAACAATTGTTGGTCAACAACTAATTATATTTCATCATTTTTATTGTTACACATTGTGCAGTGTAATTTGAATAAATCCTTAGAAAAGGAAAATTTCATTTGTAAATGTAATGTTTAGTGCTCCTAATCCTCTGCATCACAAGTGAATCCTTATTCGAATCCCATTTACAAATAATACGGTGAAAAATAAAATTCTATTGGTTCTTTCTTCTTGAAAATCTATCATTTAGAGGGAAAAAAAAAAGAGATAAGATATTATAAAAAACTTTCATACGTACATTATATTTTCATTTGATTTTTTAGCACAAGATTTTTTCTAAGCGATATATATTCCTTAAAAAAGAGTAAGTTTATGTTTGTGTAAAAAAAAAAAAAATTATACTTCGTTGTAGTTATAGAGTTAAAGCGATAGTAGTGGAGTGATAAAAATAATTAATGGTAGGAGGTGGTGTTGGTAGCAAAAGAGAGATATAAGATATTGATTGCCGAAAAAAAAACCCTGCTCGACAAAAAATCAAGAAAGAAAAGGATTGGTTACGTTAGTTTTTGACAATACAAATTGTAAGATTCAGTAAAATATTTGATTAAAATTAATAAAAATAATACTATTAGAATTTAGAATTAATATTCTCATATGTCCTTATAAAATAAGATAACTTTCTAGTATGTTCTTTTAAAAAAAAATTTCGAATCTGTCCTTATTATTTGAGTTGGTTTATAATATTTCTTTTTGATCAAAATATTTGACAAAATTTTCAGAAATTAATTTTCATATTAATAGAAATAGATCACTTGTGTAAAAAAAAAACAAAGATAGTTTTATCAAATTACATACCATGTGTAAATTACATGCTTAATTTGATTGAAATTTTTTCAAAATTTTAACTACAAGAATAGAATAGAAATGGATTAAAGGTCCAAGATGTCCCTTTACTATTTTATTTATCTTAATCATGTTCCTCTACTAATTTTTTAAATAATCTTGTTCCTTTACTCTTAATTTACATCTTAATTTCGTTCCTTTGTCCAAATTTCCTAGTAGCGGCATTGATTTCCAACGACAAACGTATGAATGCTAACACATAGCAATTTTTTTCAAAAAAAAATTCTAAAAAATTAAAAAAAATACCAAAATGCCTCTCTTTTTCTCTCGCTTTTTGTTTTTGTTCTTATGTTATGAAAAAAATTCATATTTTTTTTGTTTGGATTTGAAACAAATTTTCATAATAAATTTCTTTTAAAAAAATTTGCTTATGCTCCTTCCTATATATACATAAAAAAAATTTCTTTTTCAGTTTGAATTTGAGAAAAAAAATTGAGAGATGAAATTAATTATTTATTTCTATACATAAAAGTAGAAAAAAGAGGAGCATTTTGGGATTTTAAAAAAATTAGATTTTTTTTAAAAAAAATTGCCACTGCCATCATCTTGTGTGTTTGTCGTAAAAAATTGATAATTTATCTAAAACTTTGGATGAAGGGATAAAATTAAGACATAAATTAAAAGTAAAAAGACATGATTATTAAAAAAAAAATAGTAGAGAGATGTTATTAAAATAATTAAAACAATAGAGGGATATCCCTTTAACGACTTGATTAGAAACCAGCTCAAATAATAATAGCAAATTTAAGGTTTTTTTTTTTGGCATCTATGATATTGACTTTAAATATTTGATTTACAGACCGTCATTTCTATATTTACTTAGGCAGATTTAATATATATATCAAATAATAAAAAGTTAAATATATATAAATGGATCAGATCTGAACCACAGAGATGGAAGAGAGAGAGAGAGCTTACCAGGATTGAATAAAGTCAATGATTCATGTCTCTCAAGTCTCAACTTGGTCAATGCCCTCACATGACACCACATTCCCTAATTGACGCCTAAACGCCTCTCTTAAAGCTGTAAATCTCTTACAACTTTTGTGTTATACAAGTCATTCCCTAATTGACGCCTAAAACACCTCGCGTAAAGCTATATATTAATCTCCTATTTCTTGGTGTTGTAGAATTTAATTTTCTATATGTAAGATAGAAAGGGAGAAATTAAAGATAAATTTTCCAAAAAAAAAAAAAAAAGACTTTGAATGAGCAATTTGTACAATATGTTTTTTTTTTTTACCAAATAAAAGATTGTATTATAAGATTTTATTTAAGATACATATTGCATTTGTTTTGTTGAACATAAAACAAGAAAAATGCCTCCAATATCATGTCAATAGATTTTTAAAATATCTTAAGTTGTTTAAAAGATTATTTTAATATAGAAGTTGAATTACGTTTCATTTGAGCTCTTATTATTTTTCAATTAATTCTAAATTAGAATATCAAATCATATGATATAACATGTAGCATTTTTTCTCTCTCAAAAATAGATTACAATTAAGAATTTCAAATGAATATCCATCTAATATATAGAATATGTTATGTATACAAGGATCAACGACACTAAAACTTCTGAAAATTTTACTAAAAATTTTGAACTTTAGAAACATATGATGAGCAACTCATACATGAAGGCATTTGGCATCAAGATAATAATTTATAAAAATGATCCATATGACCATAGGATTTGATGTACATGTATATACACATTTTCTTTTTGGGTTTTACTTGATTCGGTTCCTATACACTTTCAATTTTTATTTATTTTTTAATTGGAGCCTCTTATTATTTTTAATATCAATTGAGTCTCTCTCCTCATTATTTTGTCATGTAAGGTTCCTTCCTTCATAATATGGTGAATTTGTACGCCTACATGACATCTTTTTGTTAAAGTAACTCTTTCATTTTAAAAATTATGTAATTAAAGAAAAAGAAAAACAAACAATAAACAAGTGAAAATTAATTAACTGTAATTAGTTAGGAATTCGTTTAGATTATTTTTTTAGTCAATTTACTTTATTTTAATCGCTTAATTTTCACCTAAATCAGAAAAATTAAAAAATAAAAGAGTTATTGTACTATGAGTAATCAAGTATTCAACTAAGTATTGTAATATAAAGAAGCAATGTAGACATACAATATTGCAGCGTTATGACAGAAGGACCCTTAAAGAACAAAATAAAGAGTATCTAGCTCGAGTAATTTAATAATAATAATAAAAAGAGTAGGAGATTCTAGTAAAAAAAAAAATAGAAGAGTATGGGGATCAAATGTGGATAAAAAAATTTTTTCTTTTTTTTTTCTTTTTTTTCCTTTTGATTTTGTAATTTTTAGTTTGAAATAATAAATAAAAATTGAAAGCATATTGATCATGGACCAGAAATAATAATCATCGGGATTTTCACACATGGACGGTCAAAAAAAAAAAAATCAGGGTTGTTTGTTTATGAAGTATAAGACAAATATTGGTACAATTTTAGGCATTGTATTTTTAAATTGGTTGTTGAATTTGCATTTCAACAAATCAAAATTTTCTAAATTAACTGATAGTTACAAAGTTGGTAAAACTGTAAATCATGAAATTATTGATCACATTCTAACATTACTTTTTTTAATTGTGGAGAGTGTTATGTAAGCTATGTAGTTTTTAGAAATAACATATCCATTAGTTCAAAATTATTGGTTTATTACACAAGTTTTTTGTTAATAATTTACTTAAAACCTTTTTTTTTTTTTTTTTGTTAATTTTCAAAGTATCTCAAGCCTAATTAAAAATTTATATTAATTCTTCACTACTCTGTTAGGTGCATAAGATGAATGTAGTTATTTAAAAAGTTTTTTACATACATGAGGATTCGAATTTAACATCATTTATTTAAATGATTAGAAATTCTTCACCCAAACCAACCCTCTTGGGTTACTTAACAACTATTTTAGTTTCCAGTTGATATAGTAAAAAATTCTAAATTGGGTATAATGATATCTGCAAAAATATATTTACCATTTCAAACTGTGTATGAATATCTCTACCATATTTGAATTACTGTTCTAGAACGCGGACAGATCTCCGCAACGCTGAGGATACAACTAGTATAAAAACAAAAGAGAGTATTTTTTTAAACCCAACATTGGTTTCGTATCAGGGTACTTCAGTTTATCATCCTTAAAATCTGATTTAAAAATCTTCAATGAATGAATCAAACGGTACGGCAAGAGACTTTTTGTTTGATGTGATGAGTTTGTAAGCTAGATACAACAGGAAGAAAATAAATCTTCCATAATTAATAGAATAAAGTAGATCAAGGGACAACTTACACAAACAGAAATTAAGAAAATGAATTAAGTGCTTTTCTAAATAATATTTAATTATCACAATCCGAATGCCTTTTCAGCCAAGATGTTTTCTGTATTTTCAATCCTAAAATGATGCTCCAGTACTAGTCTATATAAATCACATAAGCAATATCTATCAATCCATATATCCTGTAACTACTACCATTTCTCATGGAGTTCAAAATCCAATATCGATTCGCCTGTTTAGCATTGCTATTCATTTTTGGAGCTTTCATTTCTCAATCCACGGCACGTACAGTACAAGATGAATCAATCTATGCTAGACATGAGGAATGGATGGCTCCTTATGGCCGTGAGTACAAGGATGCCAGTGAGAAGGAGATGCGTTACAAGGAGTACGTATAGAATCCTTTAACAATGCCAATGACAAGCCATACAAGCTAGGCATCAATCAGTTTGCAGATCGTACAAATGAAGAGTTCAAAGCCTCGAAAAATGGATTCAAGGGCCATATGTGTTCTGCTCAAGAAGGCCCTTTCAAATATGAAAATGTTTTTGCAATACCAGGTTCTATAGATTGGAGAAAGAAAGGAGCTGTAACGCCTATAAAAGACCAAACAAGTTGCGGTAATGTCGACCTTATATACGAAAAGAATCAGATTTTTTTTACCACCTGATGGTAAAGCTAACTGACAGGAGAGTTTAATTTTTTTTTTCTTTGTTGAAACTGGTAGGATGCTGCTGGGCATTTCAGCTGTAGCAGCGGTGGAAGGTATTACAGAGATAACAACTGGT